CCCCGTAATTCTGCCTACACGTTCCTGAGATGGTCATCCTACCCTGGGGGGCTCAAGCTCTCCAGCTTACATTTGTTTTAAAAACTCCTCTGAGACCACACCACAAGCTCCAAGATAAAAAGGAAATGTCCAAATGAAGGGCCATGGAAAACCTGGGATACTCTGCCCACATGTTTCTCAAATGGCCATAAATTCCTTCCATGCCAAAATTTCCAAAAGCTAGAGAGGCTTCTTTTCACAACAACCAAGAAGTAATTCTTTGGAGAATCAGCATTTAGCCATTCAACTGTATCAGGCTTTTAGAGCAATATAGTTAACATACAAATTCTCCATGATTCATTTTAGCAAAATGAATTTAGTTTAGCAAAAAGCTCATCAAATTTTAAAACGAAGCATATACTGTGATGTACATTATATTTTCTGAGGTATATAAAACTGTATCATATGAACAAACTATGGATATATATCCAGTGAAAAGAAAATGGGAGAGAGATTATTAGATTTTTTTAAGGACAAATTCAGGGTCATGCTAATCCCTCACAGCCTAATGTTTTTTATAATTTAAATCCATAATATTTGACTGTGTCAAAAACTTCAAATTAAGACTGAAAACAGAAAAGTATATCCATATTTTTGAATAAAGCACCATTTAGGCACACAGAGGTGCTGTGCTGTTTATAACCATTTGACATTTCTATGGAAAAGAACTTGTTAACTTTGTAATTTACATGACTGAAAGAGCCATTTGTCTTACCCTCAGTAAGAGTCCAATTTTCTTGTTAAAAAGAGGTGGACAATAAAAGGTTTGCTTTAAAAATTATACTCTATGTATATTTTGTACCAAAATGCACACACCTCATCTGCCCAAGGGATTGGAAGGCCTGGGGTCTGGTCTAGGAGCTGCCCTGGGCTGGGTCACGGGCCCAGGGCCTCAGCTCCGTCCTGGGCCCACTTCACAGATGCTATGAAGAGCAAAGTGCTTTAAGAGCACCGGGCTGAGGGGGCACCAAAGACGGACGTGAGCTCAGTGCTTACACAGGCCAGGGCACTTGACCTCACACGCCCTAATGGCCTGAGAGAGGTTTTATAGATGACAAATGACACTCACAAAGTTAGGCCAACAATCCAAGGTCCCACAGCTAGCAAGTGACAGAGATAATACTCAAACCCAGGACTCTAGTGGCCATATGGGCGTTGCATCCATCTCTCCAAAGGCTACTCACAGATATAAGGGATTATATTTCCTGATGTGTTATTTGGACAAACTCTGTAGAACTTTATAGGGCACATGACAGTTTTCTTTCTACAAAGAGTGTATCTTCTGAAGGATACAACAGAACCAGACAAGGCACTTTACACCTTAATGAATAAAAAATGTGTTTTCTCTTGCCTATTAGAAACAAACAAACAGCAAACAAAATCTTGATTTGGCCAAGGGTGACTCTATGAAAGCCTCTTTAAAATACATCTCTGAAGTTTTTGTAATGATTTCTTACGGTTTTCATTAACTTGTCTAAGGTATCATCTTGACATCTAGATAGACACGCTTTTTCCTCCAAAACTCTCATGGGCAATCATCACTTTAAGCAATCTGTCAATTTTAGAAAGTGCTGCATCTACTGGATAAGATTGCTCTCTTTGTTAATGGCAAACAGCGTGTCTTCAACAAGCATGTCAGCAACATTATTTTCATGGCGCAGAAAAGGCAGGAATAGCACGCATGAGTGACTGCATGTGGATCGGTGCGGCACAGCTGTATTTTAGGACTCAGCTGCTCCAAAATCCAAGAGAGCAAAAAAGAAAACAGCTTGGGCGGACTGGCTGCAAGCGATCTTTCAAACGCAGCACTGTTTAGGCTGCGCAACAAGAGCGTTAGTGAAAGGAGCACTTGGAATGCAGGGCAGAATCCTTTCGGGCCACATCTGCGCTTGCCTGCTGCCCCTTTTCATTGGTTAATTTGGTTCAAATCAAGACTGTGGGAAGAGTGAGTTAGCACCCTTCTGGGAGCTCACACTTATTTTACCGATTTCTTCACCCCTTTGGGGCTCTTGGCTTCCCCAACGCATGGAGGGGAACAGGAGCCCCCATCGAGGACTGCCATGGAAGCATATAGGCAACGAAGGAGACAGTGGGAAGGCCACAAAGGGAACAGGCAGAAACGGGGGGCAGGGACAGGCAGACGGCAAAGCCTCTCTCCCCCGTCATGCAGAAACCAGGGCAAGCCAAAAGAGGATGACTCGGTTGGCTCAAACTGAGACATTGAAGCTCCGCTGCCGTAGCTTCTTTTATACGATCCGGACGTTTTAGTGCGGTAAGCGGTTACGAGGCGGACCGCCACTAAGACGGCTTTGGAGGATCTGTTGCTAAACACTGTTGGGTTTCGCTGAGCCACATCACATATGAAAACCAGGCACATACCCAGCTATATATTATATTTTGCTTTTGCCATATAGAAAAACAAAATAATAATATATGTTTTTCTACGGAGTGGATCATACACCTTGCGGTCTTAACCACACTCCCTACTTCCTCGCCGAGAGCCCTTAGAAGTGCCACGCGCCTCCTAAGGGGAGATGCGGCGCCAGTTCTAAGCCACTGCCGGGCGGAGTGGTGACACGCGCGGGCATGCTGAGGGGCACGGCTCGGGCCACCTCTCGGAGATCCGCCTTATTAGCCTCGCCAGGCTGCTAATAAATCTCCACTCCCGGGGCGCTGCCTGGGACGCCTGCCTCTTACCTTTGACATGGGGCATGAAGTGGTGTCGGAAGGGGGAGTTGGGGCGGGAGTCGCTGTGGGCGGAGCTGAGGCTGCCGGTGCGCAGGGAGGACAACCTGTGCACACCGGGGGACAGCAGCTCTGCCGGGGGCGGGGCGGGGCGGCGGAGACAGGAGAAGAGCGGGGAGGAGCAGGGCGCAGGGCCAGCGGCGGCGTCCCGCGGGAGAGAACAGAGACGGTTAATCAGGAGTCTGCAGGGGAGGAAGGCAGAGGGTTAAGGGAGCACCTGCCGAGGGTTGGGCAAGGCGGGGAATTTGCAGATACACGGCTTCAGGTCGGGACGGGGTCGCCCTCCGCGAATAAATGGCCTGGGCGGGAAGGAACGGTCACGGGGACACCCTCCGTTAGGATGACACCGGCTCCGGGTCAGCCAGTACCGGGCACGTCATTTAGACTCAAAAAGAGCCGTTTTTAAAAAGCAACTGACAAACCAGAACCCTCTGGAACACGTGTAAAAACAATGACCGTCATTTCAGGAACCTTGAAAAGAAGTACGTATATGTAAGGGTCAGATTCTTTTTTTCTTTTTTTCAAAGCTGCGAACTTCTCCTACGGGGGGTTTAATTTTATTTTGCTTATGGAGGAAAAAAACCAAAAACCTGTTCATGGTCCCTGGGTGGCAAGGATCCGCGTGGGACCCCGAGAACTGCGTAGCGGCAGCGCTGTCGTCCCGGAGGAGGGACGGACGCGAAAGCTGCAGCCAGGCCTGGGGACGCGCGTCTCCACCTGGCATCTGGAACTTACGGAGGGAGCTTGAGGGGCTCACTCAGACCGCAGCTACGTTCTCGGGACCCCGCCAGCCTCGCTTCACAAGGGCAGGCCTTGGAAAGAACACTTATAACCTCTAACCGTTGGCATTACACGTATCTGCAATCCCTTGCGAACGGCAGAGGGAGGGACGCAGAGGGTGGCAATTTCTAAAGGGTACTGACGTTAGATCCACGGCTGGGGCAGAGGGAAACTTCCTGGCGCTCGATCAGGACATGACCTTCAGGGAGACACTGTCCCTGACTGGCCACTCCCTCGCCCCTCAGAGGTCTCTGGAGGAATCTCCCGGCAGCCCCGTGTCATTCAGACAAGGTCACAGCTGGGGTCTCAGTGATCTCAGCAATGTGCCCACACACAGGAGCAGCGGCATAAAGGGGTTCTTGTCACCCAGACAGACAAGGGCTTACATCCGGGCCCAGGCCCAGGGCACGAGTGAAATGGGTATCGTTGTGCATGAGAAGAGAAAGGAATTCGTTGCCTGAAAATTCCCATTCCCTATAAAATGAAAACGAGTGTACCTCAGCAAATGCTGAGCGTCGAGAAAACTGTACATTCCTAAAGGGTCAGAGAGCAAACATTCAGTCCTCTACGAGCATTAAATCTATGGCTTTCACGGAAAGATTGCAGCCTTTTAACATTTTATTTCCTTTGGTTTTATTTTGTAAAGTACGTTAGCATATGAGAGGGTTTCTTCTCACCAGCCTGTGCAGAAGCAAAAAGCTTAAAATGAAATTTTCACCGAGTTTGTTTAAAAGGCCCAAAGCTTCCTCTGGGAATCCTTTCTCGGGGAATTCGGGATCTGCGCTGGGTTCCCCTGTTCTTTGTTTACTCCCCATGAGACACCCATAATAGGGACCAAATTCTGCACAGGGAAAGGTGAACTGAAGTCCGCTGCTGTTTCATATTCTCTACCACAATACATCTTTAATGCTTTTATGTTTTCCAAGTCCGATTCAAAATCTTAGGGTGGGAATGGACTGTAAAAGTTACGTACGACCCTGAGCTTGCATGCAATGCTTCATTCCAGGAGGCGCTCAACCACGTGCCCGGATAAAGGAAATGTAATAAACCCATCAACAAATGGCCAAGAGTGGATCTTAGATGATGCTGACATGTCTAAAAGGCACATAAAAATATCTTTTGGAGATCTTCATTTTAAGTCTAAAAGTGATGGGATTTTCTGCGAGACTAAAAAACAAAACAAAACAAAAAACCCCCACAACTCCCTTTGTTTCCAGTCATTCCTTGTCAACATGTAGTTAATAAACCATAAGGAGTATCACCATAAAATAACTCTGTTTTAAGAAAAAATATAATGCTACCTATAGCTGGATATAAGTTTTCTTTTCTGGAAGAGGGCTGTGTATTCGGCAGCCAGCTATCAGGGATGGGGAAGAGACATCGCACAGAAACACGGACTATCGCACAGAGTGAGTCCCGGGGACAGCGGCCCTTACCGGGTCTGTGGAAGTGCTGGGGAGAGCGGGACGTGGTCGGAGTGTAGCTGTGGCGGCTGTACACGGGCGAGTTGATGGAGCCCTGGCTGGTGGACCGGTGGATCATCCGGTCCCGAAGGTCCTGGTAACCCTGGAAACGGGGCGAGAAAACGTGAGTACGAAGCGTGCATTCGGGCCAGAGTCACGGTAAAGTGATACCGGGTTCCAGAAGAGCTGCCCGGGGCCACCGTGGCCACCTGTTCATGGACACCCTGCAGGGCCCTAAAAACCTTAAATACCATGCAAACGTGCATTCCGTGGCCACTGCGTTTCTTCAAGACCTGCGGTGCTTGCACTTAACACAGTTTTAACAGGTCAGAGTTATAACCGCCAATGCTGATGGAGCTCTGGGATCAGAGGGAATATCTGCAATGATTACGTTTATATTGGGCTTTGAGCTTTATAAAGTGTGTTCACATATGTCGCTTTATCACGTCGGAATAAGGAAGGTAGGACACGTGTCACTGCTTCCCTTTCCCACAAGCGCGGGGCGTTTCAGAAGGTTCCACGCGGGTAAGAGGCCGCGTGCGTGAGTGTAGCTCGTACAGTCAGAGCCCGCCTCCCGGCCCCCGGCCCTCCCGACTCTAACCTCAGCCCCGTGCTGACCTCCAGCCCTCACTGTCCATACACTCATCTGGTGCCATCTGAAGTTGATTTTCCTGGAGAATGGGCTGGTGGTGGCCTCAAACCCAGTGATTCTACTTCTCACTTTGGGAAACATATCCCGAGGAAATAATAAAAAAAAAAGATCTTTAAATGGAAAAAATTACTCTAAGATATTTATAATACCACCATTTATAAAGACAAAACTATGTGTTACATGCTTAACAAACTGGGGAATAACCAAGTAAATTAGGGCACACACCTCCAGTGGGTGGAGAACAGTAACACCACGTTGGGACAAGTGGCCTCACTCCCTGCAAACCCTTTCCTACGACTCAGAGGCACAGGCTTAGGCTGTTTTTAATCCTGTCTCTATTTAAAGAGAGATTTACTGCTGTGTCTTACAGTCACATCTCACATGCAACGAGCCCTACAGTCAGCATCATCTTGCACACAGTTCTTCTTTTATTTAATGTCCTTCCCCCCAAATCCCAGTCTAGGAAAGGTCCGAGTGACTCCCCAGTTCCACCCATTATAATTTTCAAGATGGCACTTACTTCTGCTGATGGAGTGGGAGACAAAGTCCTTGGAGACTAGAAGAATAAAAGAGAATTTAAAATCACTATGTTTATTAACTTATCAGTTTTAATTAGTGTTGCATATCAGCATCATCTGGAGACATTATTCCAAATACACGTGCCAGCACCCCTTGCCTGTCCCTGTCCCCTGCTTCAGCAAGTTGAGAGTGGGGCTGGGACAGGTACACAGTGATGAAGTCCCCGGGTGACTGTGGTGCCTGTCTCTGCCTAAGGACCATGGGCATATGTTGTAATGTGTTAGGTGACTGAGCTGGACAAATAAGAATTTCTTGCCCTATATGCTAAAATACGCTGTTTGCTCCCATGAGTTACTGTCTACTGAAACACAGAATTCTGTACATAGGACGACTGACAAAACTATAACCACAGCAATAACATAAGATGGTTTGATGACTAAAATAGGCCTGTAATGACCAGGTCTGTGGCATCCTACCCTAGTGGCCTTGACAACCTCACCACCATTCACCTTCAGGCTTCCATCCTCCCAGGCACACAGGCTACCTGGGGGCCATCAATGGGCCTTACCCTCTCTCTCACCTCGGGGTCTCTGCACTTTCTGTCCTGCCAGCAGGGCTCACTCCCCATCTTCAGTGAGGTCCATACGCAAATGTACAACCCCACAGTGCCTTCCGAGACTCTCCTACTTAAAGTAGCACCCAGCCCGGCATGCTTTCTCCTTAATCTCTTCCATTTTCCCTCATAGCACTATCACCCTGTAATATTATATTATATATCTGTTGTTTATTGTCTGTCTCGCACTTTAGGCTGCAAACTCCATGAAGGGAAGGGCTCCATTCGTTTACAACTAAGCATTCCCAGTGACCAGAGCAGCTCCTGGCATATATCAGGGGCTCAACACATATTTCCTAAATGAATGAATGAAATGCTAACAATTAAAATGCACAACAATTTCAACTAGAAATGGTGCAAAGAAAGCATTCCGAAGAACATGGCAAGTGGTGAGTTTCCCAGTTTCACAATTTGCCCCCTTCTCCAAATACACAAGAAGCTGCGGGCTCTCTCGCACGCCAGACTCCCTCACGCCCCATGGCCAGTCTGCGGCTGCAGCTGCCTCGGGGGCTCCTCGGGAGCAGGAGCCAGGGCTGCGCCTGCTGAGCAGGCGTCTGGATCCACCCTACTCCTGCTTCCTAAGGCACACAGAATCTCAAGTTTACTCCGCCGGTGTTTCTAAAATGGCAATATAAGGATTCTATGAAAGAAGTCTTAATAACTAAAGGAATACATAATCGAACAGCTTGGAAAGCTTTCTAAGTTGGAAGATCCATGTACTGGGAAGAGTTCACTAATATGTCTGATTTCTGAGTGGGGGACCCCTCTCCCCCGCTGAGGTTCTCTGCTCGGAGAAACCCAAAGGTCATTATTCCGGGTTCTGACAGTAACGATGCCGATTACGATAGCAGCCAGCATTTTTGTTGAGCACTTACTATGTGCCAGGTATTATTCTAATCTAAGTATGTCACTTAATCCTTGCAGAAAACCTCTTAAGGTACTGTGACTCTCTTGACTTTACAGGTAAGGAGACCGAAATATGTACTTTTCCCAAAGTCTTATGGTGAGTACCTATCAGAGTCTGGTTTCAAAGCCAGAAATCTTTGCTTCAAAGTCCAAACTCTTGAGTTCTTTTGTTTTACTGCCCAAAATGGAGCCACTGGGAAACACACAGAAACACCCCAAAGTCCCAAACACCATAAAGCAACTCACTTTCCCCTTGCTTGTATGACTTGAACACTAGAAAATTCTCAATCCACTTTCTCCAGGATCAGCCCCAGTGCACGTTGCTCAGGAACCTCCCTTTGCCCTTTATTGTCTATTAAACTCTCCAGGGCCCAAAGGCAACCGAACCACCCAGGCCAGTCAACCTGCGCTTGGGCGGCCGCAGATGCAGCGACAGCTCTGCGACCGGCCACTAGGTGGCACTACATGAGAACGGGTATCACTTCCCTGCCCAATGGACCCTCTCAATGCAGAGCTGTATTCTGGAGTAAAGTCCTGATTGGAAAATGAATAAAAAGAATAATATATTATACTTATAAATAAATATAATTACAAAGAAATATTCTATAATAATTGTGAACAAATTAAACAAAATCACCGCATTTTCATGCTTTTTCTTCACCTAAGATCTCACAGCGCTGTGCGATGTTAAGACAGTTTAGTAGGTTCTAACCTGGGTCGAACGGCTGATTTCAGCCCACTGCTTGAGCAACGTATATCTGAGAGGACTCAAGTTAGTCTATAGATGATTCCAGTTGAAAAAATAAAAGGGGAAAAAATTTAGAGGAAAAAATAATTTAGGCCAGGGGGACACAGACCAGCGCCCAAGAGACCTGGGAAGGAGGTGACGGCAGGAAACTGAGACCCCACGGGGCTCAGAGGCTCTGGGCAGACAGCAGGATGGGTCAGGACAGTTGTCACATGGCCAGTCACACAACTGGCATGTGGAGTCCCCATGTTAAGCCAGGAATTTTGAATCCCAAACACTGGCTCATGCTCCTGTTCTATACTCTGGCACCACTCTCTCGGTTTTCTTCCTATTTTTTCACATTCTAATTATCTGCAGCTGTCAAAATTTAGGGGGCGTACTCTCTCCCCTCATGATCCCCATAAATATAGTTGTTTGCCCCGAGACCCAGATCCGCCTCCCACCCACCCCAAGGAGACCCGCCCTCCCTTATTCCTTCTGTGCGGCGCAGGGGCTCTCCAGACAAGCCTGGCTTCCCCTCAGTGCGCCAGGCCCCTAGGCTCTCACTCATCCTTCGCCGCTGTTTCCTGTGGGGTAGGTCTGCTCTCCTACCTCTCCACGACCTCCTGAGGGCGGGGACAGGCTTTTGAGTACCTCGAAGCAGCTGGTATGGAAGGCTGCAAACAGCGTGCACTCAAAAGGACCCTCTGACTTATTTGGACTCCAATCGGCAGTCCTTATGCATGTGACAAAAGAGAAGGGAATTGCTGCACGACTCACAGCTTCTAGGAACTTCTTACCTCCCCCACGCTCTGTCTCTCCTGTTTGTCATCGTAGCCCGAAGTGTAGAAAGGCTCATAGGTAATAAGATCTGGACGTTCAATATCATAAATGGCCTTGACCTTGGGAATGGCTGCTAGATCCTTGTAATCGAGGATTTCATTGTCCACTTTTGCCTGGCAAAGAACAGAAAGAAAAGTTATTCTGCAGTCTCATCTTCGGGGAACTGTTGTTTGTGCTCATCCTAACTTGCTCAAAAAGTGACCACCTTAAAAATAAACAAAAACCAAAACACTTTGCTTAGCACAGCTGAACTCTTTAAAAAGTTGCCCATTTATACCACCTATTAATCACATCAAAAAAATTAAAAGCTTAGGAGAAAGTCAATGTGGAATTCATCAAGTACAGAAGCCTGTGCACCTTCAGGATAATTACCTAAATTTATTCCAGAGAAGAAAATATAAACAAATGGTCAGAAAATCCTCCCAGGTAGCTAAAAATAACTGCATATTCCATAAACTAGATATTTAAATACCCTTGTGGCAGAATTTAAGAACATTCAGTGTCAGCATTATAAAGTATATAATTAACTCCCAAATATCTATCTGCAAGTTAGGCACAACAGTTTTTTAAGTTTTGTGTCACACTTCTGCATTTTACGGGTGGTGTGCTTGATTGTTCCACTGATGGTCACGTTCACAGATAAAAGTTAAGTTCCTGAAAGAGAACGTGACCACGAAGGCTAATCTACAAAAATGAAAGCTGGGTCTCAGAACGGAAAGAGAAGTCATTCTGAATTATTCTATTCTGCATTATCCACTCTGCTGTTACAACCTGCTACCTCACTGTCCCAGAAGTCTCTAGAGCCCTGAAGTAGATACTTACATAGATCGTGTGACCTGGGGACCCAGGGATGCTGGAGCCCGGTCTGGAATAGATGCTTTCAGAGGAAGTCCTGGTAGGCTGTAAAACAGACAGAGGCTTGTAAGATTTCAGGCCATGGCTTCAGATTTAAGACTGGCCCGAGTCCCTAAGCTTTGCTGGTTAAACCAAGCTAGTTAAAAAAAAAGACTTGTAAGTTTTCTGAATAACTAGAGAGACAGGTAAATGAAAACTAGTTGAAAATGCAGGTGGGGCTTTTTTTTTTTTTTTTTTTTTTTTTTACCTTCTCTCCCTTGTCCCCTACAGGACCTGGCTCTGCCTGCAAGCACATTTCTCTCCATCTGCATTACCACAGCCCCGGTCACCACCTCCGCGTCCAAAGGCGTGGTCTTGGAGGTCTTTCTTACTCCCCTGGACAGCTCTTTCTTGGAGAAAGAACTTCTAGTTCTAGTTTAGGTAAAGGACCTTTCCCCCTTCGGTACTGTTTCTACTAGCATTTAGCACCTTGAATAGGAATGTAGCTGAGCCAAAAAGAACTTCTAGAAACTAGGATGTGGCATCACTAAGGAATTCACATCTGAAACAATGAGAGCCATCCCCACGTGGCCAACTCAAGGCTGGCAGTGATGAGACTCACTCTGACAGTAAGAGTGAATCCTCTCGGCCAGGGTCTCTGGCGTCCAAGACACCCAGGGCGGATGGGGCTGGGGACTCACACTGTGTACAGGTGGGCCTGTGCCAGGCTCAGGGCGTCTGCCCCTCCCGCACAAGCCCTGCCACGTGCAAGCACCTTCCTTCTAGGGTTACAATTTTCCAACCACAGGCGCATCTCAATATGAGAAAATTCCCAATTCTGAGCATATTGAGAAAGGAAGGATTTACATAATAACACTACTCAAAAAAGTCCAATTCCTTGATCCATTTCCTAATCAAAACACAGGACTGACACCAAGTGCCTCCCTCCTTTAAAAAGAGATGCCACCCTCGGTAAAGCTGAGCCAACATGCACCCTGTGGGGACTAATGAACCACAGGCCTTCCTTGGCTTCCAGGGACCAGGAGCTACCATTTGCCAAACCCAAGGTCAAAGTGAAACTTCTTAAGTAACAACAGAAGAATGCCAATAGCAGCTAACATTTATTGCCCACTTACTATGTGGCAGGCCCAGTGCTGAGCCCTTCCCAGGCATGATCTCATTTAATCCCCTCAATAGCTCCAAGCCACACAGGTAGGCAAGTGGCAGGATCTGAATCCTAAAGACAGAGCCCAAGCTCTTAATCCCGGCACTAAAATTTTCCCCATAGTGTAAGATAACTGTGACCATTTCCCATCAACATAGCTGTGGGGCAAATGAGGTGGAAATAAAGAAAAATATTGAGAGCAAGTAGCAGAAAAGAGTGCCTGTGAACTGAAAATATTTTACTGTCATTAGCTCTATAAGAACCCAGCACTAGCTGACCGTGCTGGGGTGGGGCAAGGACCCTGCACTGGCTCCCTGTGCTGGGTGGGGTAGGATGCAGGACAGTCAGATGTCTTCAGTTACTGGCGTTGCTATGACAAAGGCCTGTTTTCGTTAACAAGCAGCTAGGACACTGTGTGCATAACCACGTGTACACTGAGCCTTGGGGTCTCTCCCACGTTACTCATCCTGACTTTCTGCCAAATGCGGGTCAGGGATACTTTCTGCCTTTGCTGCAACGATGCGCCTGGGATGGCTCTGAAGTTTCTGTCCTCCCCTGCACTGTGCGTGCTCAGGAATACAGCTGGAGAGCATGTGCGTGCGGGAAGGCATCTCCAGTGCTCTCTCGCAGGGATGAAGAACTCCTTGGAGAGACGAGGCCCGTGGCCCAGCCAGCTCAGTCTCTCTCTGCCTTCCTCCTTCGCTAGATCAGATGGTCCAGGGAGTTACTCGGGCGTTCTCAGAAGCATCTATCGGGTTTATTTACTAGTGTTGTTGGGTGAGAGGTTTGAAGAATTATCCACCAATCTGAACTTCTGTCTCATTTGATTCCTTAAAGGTTTTCAGATCAGAAGCACTTCCACTTGGTATACCCCTGCCCCAGATTCTCTGTCACCAAAATAAATAGTTTAGATCTTTAAAGTCAGATAGTTTTCAAGGTGAAGCCAATGTTCACCAAACCCACTGAAGCTCTGGCTCTTGCTAGAGAGATCACCCACGCGGCCGTGGCCATGTGCATCTTCCGACTACTCAGCGGTACTTGAGAAATGCTCAAGATGTCGCTTGGAGAGGCCCAAACGGTGCTTTCTTCCACTGCACTCAGCACCTGTGGCGCCTGCTTCATGCTGAGCCCCCGACCTTCCTGCAAAATTCACCTCCACGGTCGTCTTGCTTGCGGGTGGGTTAGTCTTGCTTGCCTATTTTCGTACCATAGCCCCTCTCTGTTTTCCTGTCTAAAATGAAATAATGGCATAAAACACAACTCTGTGTCATATACTACAGCGAGGTGACAAGGCTGGCTCTGGAGTCCAGTAACTTGGTTCAAATCTTGGCTCTACTGGTTGTGTGACATCACATGGGGTTTTCTTTCTCTTCTCTCTCTTTTCTTTTGACTTCCTTGGGCTTCAACGTCTCCATTTATAGGCTGGAGGAGAGAGTACTAAGAGCCCTTACTTCCCAAGCAGGAATGAGACAATACATCCAAGGCTTCAAGCACCTTGCCTGGCACATGGCAAGTGCCAAGCATTTCTCAGATATTTGTCATTAGACTGGATTTCTCAGCCAGTTAATCTCAAATAACGAGGGACAGCGCTGACTGTTTTATTCCTCATGAGAGGACAGTCCTTTCAAACGTGAGCTGCATAGACTAGACTTCCCTACAGCTACCACACGTAGGTGCCTTCCCATCAGAGCTCAGATACATTAAGTAATTTATCACAGCACGTGGGGCAACGGTCCTGCCTGGAGCTGACAAATGCCCTTCCCCTTCTTGAGAACGCCACTATGAAGCGATTCTGTATCGTCCCGAGGCAGTGACTTCCTGCTTGGGTCCCAGGGTTAGTAGTTAACGCCCTCCTGGGCTGTATGGCGAAGGCCTCGCATGGGCCTGCCTTATCTGCCGGGACAGCGCCTGGTTGGCTGCCTCTTGACCTGTGCTCAAGGCTTAAACAGCACACAGGGATCGCCTGCTTTTTGTCAGAGTCCCTCATGGCTCCCAAAGTGTATTTATTTGCTCAATAGGCAGAGATTAGAGAGGTCTCTCCCTTGTGAAGGTAATAAAAATACTTTGAAAAACTGAACTATTGTTTTGGAGTTTCAACCTTAAATATTTGGAATTTTACACTGCAATTCTAAACATTTTAACATGTTGAATTTTAAATAAACATTGTTTATTATTAAAAGAACCCCTTTTGCTCTCCTACCTGCATTTTTCCTTCTAATTAAGACCTAACTTGCTGAGGGTCTCTATCCATCAAACATCTTCCAAAGGCCCAGAGCTGTCTTGCAACAGAGCGGCCCAAATCCACGCAATGCAACCTCAAAAGCACAGCTTACTCACATGCTTTCCCTCTTTCCAACCCCTTCTTTACCCAAAATTTTACAGATGATCCATGTTCCTGAGGATGATCCTTATGTGCAATTATTTAACCTAAATTACGATTTCGGCCCATTCAGATAGCCAGGCTAACAACAGAGACCCAGCAATGAACTAAATGCATTCGATAACCCAGTGGGTCCGCAGCCGTTGCTTCTGGAATCCTCTGTGAAGGTTACGACAAACAAAATTACCCTCTTGCCTATGCTATAAATGAAGATCACTTCTCACATCTCTCCCTAACGCATGCCTGCTTCTGTGTTACAGAGAAAGGAAGCGAGGCCCTGCGGTGAGGCTGTCGAAAGCACGTGCAGTCTCTCCTTCAGCTTGGCAGAAAAACCAACTTGAAAGCACAGTTGGAAAAATCTGGTTCTTTGGCAAAAAGGAAAAAAAAGAAAGAAAAGGGGAAAAAATGGGGCAGAGAGAGGGTGGAGAAGGCATATAGATATAGAAGAGATTATAGGCTGTGACCTCTCAAAGCATTTTGCCAATAAGAGGGGTCAAAACAATTTAATCTGTATTTGGGGACAGGAGGAAAGGAGCCTTCTGGCTGTAGGTGGCAGTCCTCACTCAGTCTCTCCCGAAGATGTCTGACCTACATTTACTTCCTCAGCAAATGGTCAAGTGCTCACTTTTGATTTCCATAAAGTCTTTTATTTTCCTCAAAAAAAAAAAATTGACAGAGAGAGGTCTCACCAGAAGACTAAAGCTCATGTCAAGGGGAAAGGGGAAAAATGGCATTTGATCACTAACAGCAGATGCTTGAAAAGGCACGTCTTTTGGTTTTCTGTATGAAATCTTTTGAAAAAGCCCTCTAACTACGTTCTGACTGATTTCCCCTATGCCTTGGCATTGCCCATCTGTCTGACCATTCAGAAGACACAGTCACAGAAAGACAATGACACTGAAGAGCTCCAGCTCTTGTCATTCTTCAAATATTGACCATTTACAAAAAAACTTACCAGAGCTCTGCCTGGCGAGCGAGCAGAGAAATGACATTTTCCATTTTCCACTTACTTTCCGTCATGGGCCACCACGCACGCCCGGTCCCTTCTTAGGAGAGCTCGAGGGCCCTTTGCTGCCCCGCCCTTCCCCACTCCGCAGGAGCAGGATGCCGAGACTACGTTAATCTACTTTGCGTTCACCCAAAGCCATGCTCTAAGGAGGGAGANGCGAGGGCCCTTTAATGCCCGCCCTTCCCCACTCCGCAGGAGCAGGATGCCGAGACTACGTTAATCTACTTTGCGTTCACCCAAAGCCATGCTCTAAGGAGGGAGAGAACTACAGGCAGCTGGCAATCAGGTGGGAAAGATCTTACGAGCACCTATGGGACACTACGGATACAAGGCGACGGACACCTTGTACGAAGTGCTGCTGAGGTTCACAGTGCCTGCCTTGGCTTTTTGTTGACGTTCACCACACAAGGCGGTGGTAGCTGCAGAAGAAGGAATACTTTTAAAATCTGCATACACTGACTGTTCACTCCGAAGTCAAGAAGGGGTGAAATCAGCTACTTTGGAAAAAGGAATTTGTGTTTGAGAGGAAGCAGGAGGGGCTTCTGGGCACAACCCCCCTTTCTCTGGAGAGTTTCACAAATGCCATCAGCATTCACTGTGGCCAAGAGGCCTCAGTGTCTTTCCAGTTTACCTCCTAACACCTATACATCCTGACGGATTGTAAAGACCAACAAAAATAAATATTCGAATAGAGTGAAAGCTGGGAATAAAGCACTATGTGTTGTAGCGCCCTTAACAAAACAATAACCCACGTCATTATTTCCTTGGTCTAGACATACCTAAGACTCTAATGAGCTCCCCTAAAAAAATATACACATGGGCCCCGGCCTGTGTGGCTCAGCTGGCTGGAGCATCATCACGTGCCCTGAAGGACTGCTGGTTGGGTTTCCAGTCAGGGCACATGCTGAGGTTGTGGGTTTGATCCCCAGGGGGGCACATGCTGGAGGCAACTGATCCATGCTTGCTCATACACCCATGTCTCTCTCTCTCTCCTCTTTCCCTTTTCCTTTCTCTAAAATAACCCGTAAAACATATGGGTGAGAATTTAAAAAATATATATATACATACACACACACACACAAAATATACACATGGTATTTTGTACACAGGGGTTGGCAAATGTAGGTTTATAGTTTGTATGGAAAGTAATATAAAACTAAATAATAATACAAGAATAAACTCTTTCACACACTCACAACTGTAAGCCTACTTTTGCCCACCCCTGTATTACAGGTTTGTAAGTGCATATAATATAACAGGTGGATGTTAGTTTTCAAAAGAAACAACAATCTCACGCCCAGTTGTACGGCAGCCCTTTCATGCTCTGGACCCCAAAGCTACAGCAGAGAAGCCCACTTTTAGAATGAAAGCAAGTGACCCACTCAGGTTATTACAAACGTGGTCCTGGGAACATCATGTGCTTTGTCTACGATGAATGACAACAGGAATTACAAACGCTCAGTACTGAGTTTTACCTATACGCACAATCTGCTATTCACATACAATTCTTCAACGACAGTGGGTGGAGGGGACCTTGTCCAATGGCCTGCTTTCTCTGCCAGGTCCCAAGCTGTCTAAAAGTTTCTGTGATGGAGTTACATGTGACTTCACTGATATTTATGGCTGGATAGCCGGGATCAGATGTCCCTTTTGAATAACAGGATAGGAAGAGAGAGGTTATTAAACACAGATCTCTCTCCTCTAACCCATACTTCTCTCGATGCTCCACATCTCTTCAATTTAAAGGTCTGAGGGGAACCAAAATATTTCACACTTGATGGTGGTCTTTTTCTTCAAGTTATGAGAAGCATCCGCCTTAGGCTGGTAAAATAGAACACTATTTGAGTTATAAAGTATACTGTTAGGGGGGGAAAATCCAAAAACTACTGAAAAAGCAACTTCTTGCCGAGCAGAGGTACTAATACTGAGCAATCCTCATTTACAGCGAGGATTATCTTTGGCTCACGAGACTATAATTTCACTTTATGGGAAAAACCCACTGCTGGAGCTAAGGCTTTAAGGTAGAATGAAAATCATATGACAAATACAAGCTGGGGCTTAATCCAGCATCCTGGGCCAACACAGCACAGCCGAGGCCTAGGATCTGCAGTTAAGTCTTGCTGCTTAGGATCTGCGTAGCCTTGGGAGGCCTTCATGCTATAGCTTGAGAAACGTAGGCTTGATGCCTAAAAGATTCTTTTCCGCTCTAAAACTCTATACATCTAACTGTTTCAAATCATTAGAAGGAGAAGTTTAAACCAAAACTCTTCTAGATCTGGCAGGCACAGAAAAAAGGTGTAGGCACGATGCCCAGACGAAAGGGCTGCACTGCAATCTTGAGTTGTCCGCAGAGCTACAAAATGGGCTTCATCTGGGCAAAGATGGGATTGTGGAAAGTTACTTTGTAATTTAACGGGCCAAGGTTTCAACCGATTCTCAGAGGCCCTGCAAGAAGGTCAAGCCTGTGTCCGGAACACAGCTCATCTGGAGAGCTGGCTGAGTGTGCTCCCCGCTTCTGCAGGGCGCCCGACGGGTCAGGCTGCTCTGCTGGGTAAACACCATCAGACCTGGCCAGTATTTAATGCGCTCCTCTCTTTGTCCTCCCAGCTTTCTCTCTCCCTCCCTCCCACCTTGTGCAATAGTTGAAGAAACACGAGTTATGGGCTCAGAGAGACATGGGTTCCAACCCCGGCTCTTCCACTTCCTTATGGGGGCGGTAACTCTGGGGGGAAGTTACTTAACTGCGATAGGCTCAGTGTCTCCATCTGTAAAATGGGAATAAGGACAGCTCTCTCACGGGAATTCTTAGAAAGAGCAAATGAGAGTGCATGTAAATCTCCCCGCCTCTGAAGAACAGGTGCCTGGTCTCATTTGTTTCCTTTCCTAGTCACTACTCCTTTCCTGAGCCAAGCCACTCCCTACCCAAGCCTTTTCCCAGCGCCATGCTTTTGCTGGCCACCCCTGTCTCGTCACCTCCACATGTTCAAAATCTTGTCCAGTCTCCAGGAAGTGCCCCTTGGGACCCTTTTGCTCATCTGACATTTCTTGACCTATGTGATCCATTTCCTGTGATACGTTTCTATGCTATTTCACAATTATTTATCTATCTGTCTTCTCTTCCCTACTGGTCTATGTCTACAGCATCCAGCTCACACTATACCTGGATGCTTGGCAAATTATTCGTTCAGTGAACAAACGTGGGAAACACAGGGCCACAAGGGTAGCTTCTAATGTGCTTGCTTTAATCAAGACAATGCTTTAGCCACTGCTCTACATGAAAACGTTGATCAGAGAAGAAAACAGCCAGAGTCAGAATGTGAGATGCAGTCTGTGGGGTGAGAAAAGCATGGGCCTCTGCAGGAGCTGGAGGAGTTATGTGGGAAAAGCAGCACAGGGAAGGGAAGCGACAGAAGCCCGGGCTCGGCACAGCACGCGAGCCTCAGCCTACACACGGTGCCAACCTGCAGTGACGGAGACCGTCCTGTGCGTCGGATCAGGCTTTTGGGGTAAAAGAAATCGGAGGAAAAATGCCGAATGTTTGGCCGCTGCCGTGAGACAGGAAAAAAGGGAAGAATGAACAGAGAAATAAACTCAATTCAGAAACACTGTAAAAAAAAAAACCTTTGGGAAAACTAATTTGAGAGTCAACGTCAAGGGTGGTTGCTTTAGTTGATGTGTGTGAATGTGTGTTTGTGGGCCCCTGTTTAAAAGCATATTAACTAGTCCCCAAAATATAGTATATGTGCCTCCGCTCCAATGCCCCTGTTCCTTTCCATTTATTTTGGCTTAGACATCCATGCACAGAGGAAGAAGCCAGTGAAGCCACTGAGAGATGTCCCCTTAAGAATTTGTTGTTACAAACACCCTGTGAGTTCTCAAATATCAAGAATGTGGATTACTCAGTGGCGCTGCTGACAGACTCTTAAAACATTTTCATTTTGCTATGGTAACCGCACTAATGTGACACCCGGTGAAAGGCTGCAAATGTGGGCTCAAGATTCGTGATCCGTAGATACACCCTTAAGAGAGCACAAGATTCAGTTCCCTTTTCAAAGACCAAGTCCCCTCTAACCCTCACCAGGTCAGCAGGGACCCCGCTCGGGGCACACTGGAACCTCTTCCCCTTGGAGGTACAAGGGTGACGTCCCAAAGGTGAACAAGCCGAGGGCGGGCCTAGCCTCCCAAGTGGAAACAATGACCTTAGGAGGAGAGCTTTGGAATTCTCTGGTAAGCTTCACAAAAGGGAGGAAAAACGAGCCCCTCTTGGCTAGAGTGAGTGGAAGGATTCACCGGGTGTTTTCATAAGCTCATCCAGAGGGTTCCATCAAGATGCAATTAAAAGTGTTGCTTTTTAAAAAATCATTTTAGTACCACCATCTGCAAACCCAAGCAATCCTTCCTTAAAGAGAAGAGACCACATTCATGCAGCCTGGCCTCATGAGCATTCTCCTCTGTCTCCCAAAAGACTTCACAGGGGATGAAGTAAAAATGATTATTCAAAAGACAGTGCAAACCACTGGCTACTTGGGTGGTTTCTGAGCAGCATCCCCAGGCTATGTTGTGAATTTTGCATTCTTGTGATAAAAGTGACAACAAATAAGCACTGTCTTTAACATTGTAGTAGGTTATAAAGATAACCTGTTTCCAAAGCATCCACGGTTCCCCCAAAACCCCAGAATCTGGAGCTCAAACACAGGCGACTGGGCCAGTGGTGCCTGCCTGGGCAATGGACTGGAGGGTTATAGACATGTGCTCAAGCTGATGCTATATGTCATAACAGAAACCCAAACCATCCCGATATTGGTGGGCCAATTCTTTTTCAGTTTGCCTTATCTTTGCTCAATTATTCTGAGAAAAAGTGGGTGTGTTTTTCCTCCAGTTAAAGTATGTTCCTACTGGGGTTACATCCATAGCTTCTTAGGCCTGTTAATGGCAGGTCACGAAGAAATGAGACCACAATCTTGGGTCTGGCCTTCAAAATAAATTCAGTCCATTCTTTTCCCTGAGACACCACGTGGGTTACAGTCAAACTCCAGTTTTCCCAAGGGTACTACTCAGTTAGCGAAATGCAGACACTGTGGCCTGGATCTGGTCTGATTATTGCCACAGTGAAAAACTGGGAGCACCTAGACAGGATATGGATAGTAATGACCTTACAACTGTGTATGCTCTTTGCTTCTGAAACCAATAAAATGTCCTCTGGTGGTGTTCTGAGGATTGACTAGGACCAGAAGGCTTTAGGAGGGAGAGAAAAAGAGGGTCCATCCTTTTGCCCGTGTGCTCAATGGTCTAGGATGGTTACTAAAACATTCTGATGCTATCTAAAAGTTAAGTTCTCAAACCACCCAGCACGCTTGTCCACACTGACATGTCTGGATTCAGCATTATTTCCCCAAACCATCAGCATTTGGAGGTAGAGGTTCCCGGGTGAATCTGGATCTGAGAGGGTGGTAAGATGTACCAAGAGCTGAGCACTGGATGCAGAGTCTGGGTTGGGGTGTTGCATTCTAGACTAAATATAAAAATGTTTGGTGAGGAGGTTGCCAGACGTTGGACCTAGAACTTCATGGGTCACTTTTTTCACACTTAGATGGTTGTACATTTCCCTTGAATGCTTTCCTAAGAATCTGCCTAGTGAGGCAAGGCTTCCTTTGTCCAACACAAGCATTTGGAACAAAAATCACAATCAATTTAAGGTAGGAGGGAACCTCCTTCCCTGGCCAAAGGGCCTTTCAGCTTGGTCTGCTATAGAGGAAAACAAAGTCATGGCAAAGCCATTTCACCCCCATTCCAGCCCCACGAATCAGTCACCATGAAACACATGGCCTGCAAATGCACCTGCCATCACATCCCTAATGACTTCCTTACCCGCAGCTTCTCCTCCGTCTTGGTAGACTGCTTACAGTCGGGATGCCAAACGGTAGAACCTGGAAAGACATGAGGCAGCGCTGAGAGCCGGGGAAATGGAACAGAGCCCTCGTCCTGTGAGACAGGACTGAGAGGGTTCATACTCTCTCCCCCCGCACGGGAGTGTTGGAGCCCCGAGGCGCATGAACCAGGACCGCTCCAAACCCTGGGCGAGTTTCCCTCACCTCTCCTGAGCTTGGCCTATGGAGGTCATGATTCTTGACCACAGAGATCCCCAGCTAAGCACAGGAGTGTGTCTTGCAAGGGACATGTAGTTCTTGGCTGAGTTATTACCCTTGAAAAGTATTGTCTGTGTGCTTACTACAAGCTGCATTTAATTTCAGAAATAGAAGCCATCGGCACGTCTAAGTAACATCAGAATGACCCAGCGATTTAAATGAGGGAAATAAAGTCCAACCAGATTGTCTACATTCTCAGTAGCAAAACTCACTGGGTTTGTTGTTGATCCAATTATACGTAGTCATCTACCCAGATATGGGATATCGGACCAACGAGCAGAAAGATTGAAAGTTATGTGACAAATCCAGAAGTTTCCTTTATCTTTCAACCTTTTAATTAACTTTAAAAAAGTATTCACCATTAAACTAGTGAAGCTACTACGTAAGTATCGTTTTCTGTTTCTGGGTCAATGCCCCACTTTCTCGGACTACACAGTATTTTCACGGATGGTCCCAGAACTAAGCAAAACATGCATATCCCATAGAAAGCTGTTATCTTGTCAAAATCCAAGCCTGCCTATGTAATTTTGTATGGCCAGATATTCACGTCACTTATAAAACTATAGATAAGAACTATACGTAAGTCCTATGCTCATATAAGGATATGCTCAAATGTGGGGATGGGCGGGAGAACCAGAAGGACACTTAAAAGGATTTAAGCGAATAAAGTTGCTAAGTTGAAAGCAGTGAGCAAATGATATAAATTTAACAAGAGTCTCTATGAATAAACACTGTCTGCCTTTCATTATCAGAATCTTTACCTCTTTAAACAGCAATCTGTTGTACTTGACACCAAATTAAAATAACTCTTGAATTATTATATATCACTGAGCTAAAATAATATTCAACGAATGACAAGGAAAATACATTTCACATCCAAATAATACTTTAATTCCTATTTAACAACCACTGCCCCCTTATTTAACCCAGGGAAGGGGGAGGGAAGGGAGGGAGGGGGAGGGGGCAGGTAAAAATCAAACAAACAAAAACCCGAGGGACACCACACAGTCCCTTCCGCACTAACATTTACTCCAGGGCTGCCTACAAAGGCCAGGACACCGTCTCAACGTGGAGAGCCAAGGTCCTGGGGTCAGGGCGGGGCCCGGGAGGGTCTATTGCTTCGGAGGCCTTGGCCAGAACACCGGGTTTGCAGTGTCCCCTTGTCATCCAGAGGTCAGGCACACAGGAATGTGCCACAGAGAGAGCGTCAGACGCCGGGAAGACGAAACTGCTCTCTGTTCAAGGATGTGCCGAGAGGCAAGCAGAGCCCCGAAGCCCAAGAAGAGATGAGCAACGATCCCCGCAACTCTGAACGCAGCCCATCCTAGCAGATGGCTGGGGGTGTGCGCTGTCCTTGTGCAAAGCTCAAGGTCACTCTGTCTGTTGGGCTTCCAGGCCCAGAGCTGCGCCCAGAGCCTCTGAGTCTCGGTCCTAGCAGACACCGGGCTGACATGCACGCGTGTGTCTTTGTTTGTGAGTGCCGTGATGGACACACTAAAACCTAAAACGAAGCCTGGAGACCACGTGGACAATAAATCTGCTCCGTTCTGGAAATGCACAGGGACATCTGCCTGTTGCTACTGCAGATGCACAGCTTGTCCTCAGGGAAATGTCACACGAAGCCCACAGGAGACCATGGATTTGGGTTCCTGTCACTCGCCTTCAATGGGCCCTTTAATATTCAGTGATTTTATTTTAAATCACAGTTTTTCAGGGTGATCATCCTACATCTAGAAGGATGTTTGGGCTCTTAATTTCTCATATAGCTGGAATTTTTTAAAAGGAGAGTAGCCTAAGTTTTGCTTTAATATTCCAGAGTAATTTCTATAGGCTTTTCTGGGTTGTATAGAAAAACTGAGAGCAAAGCAAACCATTCATTAAAAATACAAAGTATGGCCCAGCCGGTGTGGCTCAGTGGTTGGGTGTCAACCCATGCACCGGTATAGGTTGCTGGTTTAATTCCCGGTCGGGGCACATGGCCCGGTTTTAGGCTCGATCTCTGGCAGGGGGCGTGCAGAAGTCAGCCGATCGATGTTGATGTTTCTCTCTCATCGATGTTTCTATCTTTCCCTCTCCCTTCCTCCTCAAAAAAATCAATAAACATATTTTTAAAAAATACACAGTATGACCTCACTTATATGTGGAATCTAATGAACAAAATAAATAGGTCCAATGACATGGAAGCATGGAACAGACTGACAGATCTCAGAGGGAAGGGGGGTAGTGCAAAGAGCTCAACCAAAGAACTTAGATGCATAATCCAGGGACACAGACAATAGTGCGGTGAAGGCCTGGGGTGGGGCGGGAGCTGGTCGGAGG